TTGAGCCCAGGAGTTGGAGGTTGCTGTGAGCTGTGATGTCATAGCACTCTACGCAGAGGGATAGCTTGAGGCTCCATCTAAAAAAAAAAAAAAAAGAGAGAGAGAGAGTTGATTCATAACTGTGAGATTGATATCCAAAACAATAATTTGTAATACCTCAGTTTCTAATCTCATCTGGTCAGTTATCCAAAGAAAACATGTTCAGGTAGGCACCTGTGGCTCAAAGGAGTAGGGTGCAGTGCCCATATACCAGAAATGGTGAGTTCAAATCCAGCCCCAGCCAAAAAAAAAGAGAGAGAGAGAGAGTGAGAACATGTTTATCTATACTAAATTCAGGGAGAAAAAAACTATATTTAAATTTTTTTAAGCAAAATTAATTTTTTAACCTGTCATTTGTAATTCTTTTTAATAAACCATATAGTTCTAATTTATTTTTTTTATTAAATCATAGCACTGTATATTAATACTATCATGGGGTACAGTGTACTGTTTCTGTATACAATTTGAAATACTTTCATCCAACTAGTTAAAATAACCTTCATGTCTTTTTCTTAGTTACTGTGTTAAGAGATTTATATTCTACATTTAGAGAGATTCACATGTACCCTTATAGGATGAACCATAGGCGTGGTCCCACCAATCACCCTCCAGCCACTCATCCTCCCCCCCTCCCCTCCCCTCCCTCTCCCCTCTCCCCATATTCCTGGGCTACAATTGGGTTATAGCTTTCCTATGAAAGCTATGAATTAGTTCCATAGTAGAGCTGAGTACATTGGATACTTATTCTTCCATTCTTGGGATACTTTGCTAAGAAGAATATTTTCCAGCTCCATCCATGTAAACATGATGGAGGTAAAGTCTCCATCTTTCTTAATGGCTGCATAGTATTCCATGGTGTACATATATCATAATTTGGTTCATTCGTGGATCGATGGGCTCTTGGGCTTCTTCCATGACCTAGCAATTATGAATTGGGCTGCAATGAACAAATATCTTTATTGTAGTGTGATTTTTGGTCTTCTGGATATATACCTAAAAGAGGAATTACACGATCAAATGGCAGGTCTACTTTTAGTTCTCTAAGTGTTCTCCAGATGTCTTTCCAAAAGTAACATATTAGTTTGCAATCCCACCAGCACTGTAGAAGTGTTCCCTTTTCCCCACAACCATGCCAGCATCTGTGATTTTGTGATTTTGTGATATGGGCTAATCTTACTGGTGTTAAATGATATCTCAAAGTAGTTTTGATTTGCTTTTCTCTGATGATGAAAGATGGTGAGTATTTTTTCATATGTCTGTAGGCCATCTGCCTGTCTTTGTCAGAGAAGTTTCTCTCAAGTCCCTTGCCCACCCTGAGAGGGGATCACTTGTTCTCTTCTTGCTAATACATTTGAGTTCTGTGAAACTAATTTTTAGTTAGACATTATTGAGTACATGGTAGAAAAAAATTTCATCTTATAAAAAATCATGCTTTTCAAGCCAGGGTACCTTAAAATTTACTTTTTGATTTATGGTCTTTTAAATAGAATTTTATAGAACAATGGAATAGTACACTTCAATGTGTTTCTAAACATTGATCTATTATGAATATAAAACTTTCTACATTTCAGGATCAATAGCAGGACCATAGCCAGGTACAAGTCTGTAGATTACTGGATTATTATT